AATGCACCCCAGAATGCCATTGACCTTCTTGGCAGCCAGGGCACACTGCTGGCTCATGGTCAACTTGTCATTCACCAGGACACCCAGGTCCCTCTCCACAGAGCTGCTCTCCAGCAGGTCCGCCCCAAGCCTGTACTGATGCATGGGGTTGTTCCTCCCCAGGTGCAGGACCCTGCACTTGCCTTTGTTGAACTTCATCAGGTTCCTCTCTGCCCAACTTTCCAGCCTGTCCAGGTCACGCTGAATGGCAGCACAGCCTTCTGGTGTATCTACCACTCCTCCCAGTTTGGTGTCGTCAGCAAACTTGCTTTTCCCATGTTCCTGAAGTGGGACCTCAGCTTCACTCTGTACAGTGATGGTTGGTTCACCCCAGTTAAAGCTGAGCTCCACTCAACCTACTGCTGTCACAAAGCAGCTTCTCAGATCTGGTAATCTCTCTCCCTCCCCTAATATCTTCCAAGGCAGCATACTTGGCTAATGCAGGACGCTGAGCAAGGTGCAAACATTTGCTCAGTCACAGCTCCCCTGGGACAGACTCGAACACAGCAGCGTTTTCAGCCTGAAGTTGTGCTCAGCAGCCTGAGGAAGGCCATGAGGTTCCTCGTGCCATGCCAGTGACTGGTAGCAGATGTGGCAAAGGGAGGTCTGAACGTCAAGCGCAGCAAAAACAGGGCTTCTACCTCCCAGCTAACACTGAACCCCACTGCTGTACAGACTAGAGAGCTACAGCCTCCCCTGGCATAACCCCCTTTAAAGAAGGCTTGAACACCTTCTTTAAAAAGGGTTAAAAACAAATGCCCACCCAACCTGGTGAAGTTTGGAAACTCTGCACATGTAGGAATTTCTTTCTGCTCCATCTGGGTTCAGGTGATGGCCTGAAGCATGAGCTTTAAATACCCTTGAACCAGCAGTGCAAACATCAGCATTATTTACAGCCTTCTGTAAAAAGTACCAGCATCCTACTGGACACCCTGTCAGAGCACAGAGAATTGTAACACCACTGACAAGCGGGGCCTGGGAACAGCCTCCCCGGGGCCATGAGCCAAAGGGCATGAGCTGAGAACTAGACTGCCATTCATTTCCCCAGTGCCAATGGGAAAACTATATTTTTTGCAACTCTATTTCTTGTGTGTTGGAAGGGAGTGATAAAAATAGCTCTCCTCACAATGAGGAAGGGCTGCCTGTGATCTCAGCTGTCCTAGCGCTGAAAACGCACCGCTCAGTCCCAGTTATCTTACCCCATTCTCAAGCCATTGGCAAAGCCTGGATGTTGGTCTGCGCTTTAGCACGAGCCAGGAGCAGGCCAGGGCATTCTCCGGGCAGGCGTTTCAGTGGCTCTGAGGATCAGTGGGTGTTCAAGCTCAGCCCCTATAGAAAGAAAAGAAATGTAAAAATGTGAGCTGTTTGAACCACAGAGGAACTTAAGAGCACAGCCTTGAGCTCAGCTACCAGAGGTGCTACAGGTACAGCCCCACCACATCTGGGGCACAGCTGGCATGGAGGTGCATTGCTGTTAAACAGGTCTTCACCTAAGGTAGCGTGTATCTCACAGGTAGGAGAGCCACTCTTTACACTTAAAGAACATTTAACTAAGGTCCATAAAAACTAAAATATACCAATCATAATTGTCTCATTATTATGATTTACCAAATGCCAGACCTGAGGTCACATTGATAGTCTTCATTCCGTATTTCCTTCTCCGAACCTTTCAGCATTTCTGAGTTAATGATTAGAAATGATCAGAAACTTTCAAGTGATTTTTTTCTCCATCTGTCGTCCCTCAGGCACCAAGCAGGCACCGTGAAGCATGTGGTTTCAGCTGGCTTCTTCCTTGATATTGTTTAGGAGGCCAGCTGGAAATGTTTGGAGCTGTTGGAGCTTTTCCACACGCTCTGTGTAGAAGGAAGACACTTGCCAGGCTTCCCTGGGCCTGGACACTCACATGTAGCACGAGTTTCCTTTCCACTTCACCAACTGTGGAAAACCTAAGGGAACTTCATCACCCCCGGGCTCACTACACTTCCTTCTCATTTGATTGCATCTGGCAAATGGGTTCAAAACTGCCTAGAAAAGGGCTGTCTCCACACACCTCATTGCCACGGGAGTTCCTCAAGGACTTGTTATGCACTGAATTTTGAAATCATTGAAATGAGCCATTGCTGTATACTTCAATTTTTTTCCAGATTTGTCAGTTCATGAATATGTGTTCTTTTTCAAGTTTTGTCTAATTTGAAATGAGAAGCTGTTTCCTTGTCTGCAGATCCTCTGCAGAATGGGAAAACAGCTCATGGTGAGGGCTCCGTTGAGAATGCGTGTTTGTAAGATAATGCTACTGTGGCTGTATTCTTTCTGTTCTGCATAATTTATATCGCTGTACAATTTGGTTACAGAAAAGGTGAAAGCAAGGAGCAGGTAAAGTGTGTAGCTGACAGAGGATTAAGTTAATGCCAGTTACTTATGAAGCCCCTGTGAACTATATGTAACTGGAGCTGATAGGCTGAATATGAAGTCAAGGGGAGCCTGAACGCAGATAAAAGGAGGAACTCGATGCCTTTTTTGTAGCCCCATTTCATGCTCAAAAAGCGTCTAAACTCCTTGGGGCCATGAGTTTTCCCCAGCCACATCTGAACTTGAGATCAGTGAGGCAAAGGCTGGAGGAGAGATGTGCAGGGAGGGCAGAAGACATCCAGCAGGGAAAACCCAGTCCACGAGCAGGAAGAAGAGTA